CGAGACGGGGCCGTCACCAGGGCACGGGCCTTCCCTCCCTGCCTTTTCCTACTTGACAGGCGAGGATACGAGTGTGAATGGCTACAGAGCTTCTAGCACTACACCTGTGAGAGGCTCTGAAACGGGGCCCTGCCCTCCGCCTCAGTGCGGTTATAGAAGCAGATGACAATCCTGTGGTAAATGCGTGTGGTTTCTTGTGCTTTTTTTTCCTAGATGCCTGTGACAGTGGGCCCATACGGGCAATCGCAGCCCAGCTGCTTTGACAGAGTAAAGATGGGTTTCATGATGGGCTTTGCAGTGGGCATGGCTGCAGGAGCACTGTTTGGCACATTTTCCTGCCTCAGGTACGCCAAGGAAACGGCTTCTGTGAGCAGGTCATGACCCAGCAGTAGCCAGAGCTGCTGTGGGACTGGGAGGGCTGATGTGGGTCTGGTCCTGTGTCATCACATGGGTGAACCTTGGCCAGTGGCTCTGAATTAGCCACAGTTCGAGAGCCTGGAGAGCCTGCTGTCAGCACTGGCCTCGTGTGGGAAAGTCTGGGGATAGTGAGGCATCGCCTCTGGCTCAGCTGTGTACCAGGAGGTTGCAGTTTCGCAGACCTTTTCCTGCTGCCCATAAGGGAGGTTGTGTTGGAAAGCTCAGGCTGTGGAAGATCAGCCCCAGGAGCAGCTGGATGAGTTGTCTGTGCAGATACACGTGCAACCTTCTCCTAGCCCTAAAGCTTCCTGATGTTCACTGCAAGCTCTTGGGTGTCTTCATTGGCTGCTTTGGGTGTCCCTCCCCCTGCACAGAGGTAGTCACCATACTGACCCTGGGTCTGAATTTCAAGAGTGTAGGCAGAGCTGTGGCTGGCACAGGCACAGTACCCTTGTGAATCAGAGAGACACAACATCCCACCTTCACCCGGCACGCTGGCACAGAAACAACGCTCACTGCTCAGAGGTGCAGCTCGTGGACTGGTTTTGGCACGTCACCCGTGAAAAGGAATTACTGAAATAAGCACTGCATATGTTGCAGAACTCCTTCTGCTTGAGGTTTTTGAATCTGCGATTAAACATGAGCAATGATTTGGTAGTGAGAAAAGAAAGAAAAGGCACAATGTCTGATCTAGTAGAGTTTAAAACATTTTCTCATCTCAGATCTTGGAGGGTAAGTGGTACAATGCTAGCAAAAAATACAGATTTAAGGTATCTAGAAGCAGCAGTGACGTAGGTTCTGTTGTACTTGAATAACACTGCTATGTTACTTCTGCTGTACCATTTTTAAGGGATAATCTCCATGTTTTAAAAATCAAGTGCATGAAATTCCTTAGACCCTACAGTCACTGCAGTGCTTAAAAGCCAAACATTACAAGAACTTACTGAGAAGGAACAAATATTTTTGCTTTGGTCTGACCACAGGTGAAGGGGAGCTGAAGAACAGAAATGCCTCTGAACACTTTGAGGCCTTTCAAGTTTCTCTGATATTAAAAATACAGCGTCAGTGGTAAATACGAAGTTTGTTTACAACATGGTTTTGTTGGTGATATTAAAAATAATGCCACTGCAGCCAGGCAGGATGGTAACACAACAGCTCAGACCCTTTTTATTCTGTGGCAAGTCAGATACTGGGACAGCACAATTTTTTCCCCCAGATAAAGGGTATTTCAGGCACTAGCAGGTAAAGCTGTTCCTGTTAGTGGTCTGACGGAAGGGTACAGCACCACCAGGAAAAAATAACTGTCGGCCATTGTCGAGGGTTGCTCAAGTGCCCCAAAGAATACGGCTCTGTATTTGTTTGCAGTAGCTCAGGTGCATGGCACCGTGGCCTGTCCTTGCGGAGGCATCACTTTAAACTTAGGCTGAATAGGAGGTCTTTGATTTGGATGCTCAGGCAACCATAGCTGGTTGTATCAAATGTAACAGACATGCAGCGGAAAAACCTGTTGGGCTTCAGTTTTTATATAATTCCTGTGTTTTTCTTTATCTCAGGATTGGCATGAGAGGACGAGAGCTGATGGGTGGAGTTGGCAAAACGATGATGCAGAGTGGTGGAACGTTTGGGACGTTCATGGCTATTGGTATGGGGATCCGCTGCTAACTTGGAGCTCGGGTTTTGTCCCAGAGTGCCCCCATCCAGCCATTCCTCCTCTGTACAGTAATAAAATCTTTAGATACCTGGAGTCAAGAGCTCTTCATGAAGTGGTGAAGCACCGTAATCCTTGCTCTGCTGATTGTAAACATGCTTTTTACCACATTTCTACTTCCCTCCCATCTCTGACTCCCGTGACAATTCATAGTCCACGTACTACGTTAAGGTTACTATTCCACAGGCCCAAGTACAGCGCACACATCTCTCCCTTTGGTGCTTGAGCAGCTCGTGTTCCCAGTGTGTTGATGCAGAGCCACAGCATTTGCACAGTCCCAAGCCTAGGAGAGTTGCTCTGTGGCCAATTCCAGTCAAATACCAGATTTTCCTCTTCTTACAGAAACAGGTGGGTTGAAGCTGTCCCCATTTCTGAGTTCAGGTAATATGGGGCAAGCACCCTCACAGGGAGCATGAGGGATCCCAGAAGGACTCAGGCAGGTCCTTCTGCCACTAAGGGCAGCCTGCCACAGGTCAGGCACCTTCTTCTAGCCAGCCCGGCAGCATGAGGGAAAAGGAAGCAGCCAGAAACTGTATAAAACAGGCACTGGTACTGCCACGATACTAGAGCTGGAAATCATTAAATTCCTGGAAAAAAGAAAAGAGCTCCCATCACGTGACAGCTACAGCTATTTTGTACAAGTCACAAGGATGACTTTGACACAAGGCACAGGAGATTTCAGGCCTTGAGCAATGCCCTTCCTAAAGCTCTGGCTGTGCTGTGAGTCCCTGCACCATCAGCCTAAGATGGCACCGTTTGCGCTGTGCTGTCACAGCTCAGCAGGGCGCAGCAATCGTACACCCTCGGGTGCAGCCTTTTGGAGACGGGAAGGACAGAAGCTAGGGCTGCATTGACTCCAGCGGAGGAACTCACAGTGGCTTTTTTCATGCTCTCAGCAAGGGAAGGGAGCTGCACTACCAGAAAGAGAGTCTGTTCCTAGAATCTGCTTTCATGGGTCTATGAGGTGCTCACTGCTTCCCACAGGGAGCAGGGCACTGCTCCGTGCCATTCACCAGCCACTGTAGCACTGCTGGCAGCAGAACTATGAAATGCTTAGCTTTGTGCTGCCATCTGTCAAATAAGCCTTTTGAAACAAGGCTCCTATTCACTCCTTTATTTCTGTTCAAGGACAGAAAGAGACAGGTCAGCAGCAGAACAAGCACCTGCGCAGCCTTTACCAAGTGTTGTTTCCCCAGATTTTAAGGGGGAAAACAAATCTGTCACTTAAAGCCTGCTTTGTCTGCTGTCACACAGCTTGGAGAGAGAAACCATGCCAACAAGAACCAAGTCAAGCAACACAGCTTCACTGAACAGCCCAAATTTTACTCCAGGTAGCAGTGGCACCTAAAAAAAAAGGTTGAGCAAACCCAGAAAACAGCTCTGCCTGGTTTTCCCCAGCTGTCTCATGTTCCCAAGACCCTTCCTGTAGTGCACCCCTGGCCCCCACCTACCTCAAAAAGCCACAAAGTGGCCTCTGTGCCACTTTCACTCGCCCAGGCCCAGTTCCTCTGCCACTCCCCACCTCTCACCCAGCTGCAGCTCAGCCTACAGCTCCACCCACCCCACAGGGCAGCACCAGCAACTGGAGACCAGGTCACCACCCTCACACCATCTCAGAGCAGAGGCACCATCCCTGCCCAGCCCATTCTCGCCTACTTGGTGGGATGCGCTCCCTGCACCTCTGTCAAACACAGCATTTATCAGCATGTGGTTACAAGTGACAGGAAGGTGGGAAATGGGCACAAAGAGGGCCATCCACTTGGGCTGGCTTACTTACAGAAACAGGAATGTAAGTTACAAGCCTTACAAGCCACTGTAAGTTACTTCCTCATCCCCATGATTCACAGCCATTTTTGAGAGGTGGGGGAAGGTCTCTGGAATGAATCTGCAGAAAGGGCAAGAGCCTCAACAGCCATGGCTGCAGCACCCAGAGGGTTCAAAGCAGCAGGAACCAGCTCCTGCGTTTCTCCTGAAGGAACGGTGTTCCAAACATGGACCGTGTTTTGTCTGTCACTCACTGCCAGCCTTCAGCACACACTGCTTAAGTTACATTAGGAGAGCAGAGAAATAAAGCTTCGTAAAGGCCTTTTTAAGAGAATTTTATTTGAGTGGTTCTTACAAAGATTGTTGCAATATGAAAGTCTTTGATAGAAATATCAAGCTGTCTTGTCAAACACACTGAAGTAACCCAAAAATATATTTCAGAGCTCACAGAGCTTAAAAAGAGCAAAGATTATATGCAACCAGAACAAAACATGTTTCTGTATTTCCTACCAATTTTCAGACTTGTCTGAAACCTTTCAAGTGTGCCACACTGTAGACATACAAACTTATCTGGAAATGCAGAGATCGTTTTGTTTGGAAACTTAAACACACCTCACACAGTATTTACAAAGAAACTTTTACAGATACATTAATCAAAAGTTACCATCAAGAAGTAAAACCCTTCAATCCTTCTATTCTTACCAGTTATTCAGCACAAAGCAAGCTTAGTGGCTGGCTGGAGTCAGCTTTCAGTAGCGTTTCGAGTTTTCCATTTATACAAAACACTAAATTTGTCCCTTCATAAAGCCTCTCTCTGATATCAACCTTCAGCAGATCACCTGCATTTAGTGAAATGTAAAATGTAATTGCTGCGTTAAAAGAAAGGCTTGTGAAACATTAAAAATGTCATTGTGTCCCATCTGCCTTTTACAGAGAACTTGTTTTCTATGAGCTACTTCTCAGTTCCTACAGATCACCTTAGTAAATGTACAAGAATTACAAGGCAGAACAAGAAGTCAACAGCTTTGTATACAGTGGAAATGCTAGTCAGGGAGAATGAACACACTGCATTTCTGCTTACTTCATTTTATTTTTAAAGGTAGCAGGAAGTGTACACAAAATGACATTAAATCCTTTCCTTAAGTTTTATCTAAATAAAAGATAACTCAATCTTCCTCCAAAAAATAACTATGTACAAAACTGACTAAATCCATCTTCATCGTCGAACAGGAACCAGTAGTTGGGTTGCAGTCATAGAGTCTGGGAAGAGGCTATGGTACGTTGGAAGAGGTACATATGCTGCTGTAATCATTTTACCTAATCAGAGAAGTTAAAAAGCAGTATCAGTATTTGGTAATTTCTGTAACTGATGAATCAATGTTTCTACACGAAATCCACTCACCTGCAAACCACCTCCCATGCAATGCATTTACAGCTGCAATGGCAGCAGCAATCGAAGGGCATTTGACATACACATTGCCCTGCAATACAGAAGCATTACAGTCCATGAGAGGTTTGAAAAGCATCCCACAGCACCCGCTCTTGAGACCCTGCCTCAGCGTGGATGGCAGAGGCATCAACCAATAACACAGAATGAGCATGAGAAAGCGGCACAGCAGATGGTTTTTTCCTGACACGTTACTATCCTGAAACAGTTCTTTTAACACAAAACTTTTCTAAATAGGACTTTGCAAAACAGACAAAATGTGAGCCTGATCTGAAATCAACAAGTAATGGCTTTCTTACTTGCTCACAACCCTTCAAAGGTATTGTTTAACGCCTCCTGACTACAAATCTCCTGTGAAATAGAAGTGCATAAGCGTTTGCCTCTACTGCAGGCCGGCCATCAAGTTCTATAAATCACCAGCTTTAACCACAAATTCTTGACTCAATATGCAAATTCACAATCTGGCTTTTCAAGGTATTAAATACTCCCTGTATCCCCAGGCAGGAAGGATGTCCAGCACTTGGAGCAGACTGCAACTAGAACTTCTCCTAGGTACACGTCAGCATCTGTCTTTACGTGAATGAGGACTAAGACAAAGGGGGAAAACAGACCACAGCAAGGCAAGAAGCAGCCCAGGACTGTATCTAACATGAAGGACAGACTAAGCGTCTAACTTTGCCAGATATCTGAAGTTTTCTTTCTGCAAATTAAGTGCTAACGCAGCCTAATCCAGAGTACTGAAAGATTCACATTCACAACTGCAAGACACTCACAGGAACAGATCTGTGTTTCTTCTGGCTGCCTGCTCAAAAACAGAATACTACCAGTAGTTCTGGAACCAGATCAGATTCTAGCTGAAACAGATTTTACAGGAAATTAATATTTTAAGAAGCAGAATCCAGACTTCCCTTTAGCCACCTTTGCAAGCCTGTACCAACTCTTCCCACCATGATCTAACACCCTTCCTTCTCAGGGAGAACTTGAGACCAGGGGTTGTTTATGGCACTAAGCAATTAACACACAAGGTTTTATTCTCAGCTTCCCTGCACGGGCATCCAAGCTGCTTAAGCCTTGGAATGAGATACAGCAACGTAAAGCTTTAGTCTTCCCTAACACACCACAACGTAGACTGGTGAAGTATACGAGACAACACATGCAGTTGGGACTGCAAACTTTTCACCCCTAACAAATCACATGTTCATCAACACAATCACATCAACACCGAGTTGGGAGGGAGTGTTGATCTGCC